TAAAAATAAAATGGAATACACTGGACAATCTGTTATTGTGGAAGACAAAGTGAAGGAACACAATGGAGTACTAACTGGAGCTAAACACAGCAGGGGACTTGTTTCATTCAAATCTTTTTTTTTTTTTTTTTTTTGAGATGGAGTGTGTTGCTTTCTGTCTAGGGCTGGGAGTGCCGTGTGCATGATTTTGAGCCTCACTGCAAACCTCTGCCTCCTGGGTTTAAAGTGATTTCTGCATCAGGCTCCGGTAGAGACGCGAGTAGCTGGGATTATGAGCGCATGCGCACCATGCGCTGGCTTTTTTTTTTTTTTTTTTTTGTATTTTTAGTAGCGATGGGGTTTCATCATATTGGCCAGGCTGGTCCCAAACTCCTAATCTCTAATGATCCACCTGCTTCAGCCTCCCAAAGTGCTGAGATTACAGGCATAAGCCACTGCACCTGGCCTCACTCAACAAACATCCAGGGCCCACTGTGTACCAGCCAGGCTGTCTATGCTAGGGGATGGGGGTATATCAATAAGACAAACATGGTCCTCACGTTGCTTACAGGAGAGGAGGGATGACAGACAATGAAAGGGACAGTATGGGGTGATGAATAAGGCAACCAGGTTGATACCCCAGCACTACCACCTGGGTGACCCCAGACAAGCTCATTTTTGTTGTTGTTGTTGTTTTGTTTTGTTTTGTTTTGAGACAGGGTCTCACTCTTTCACCTAGGCTAGAGTGTGGTGGTGTGATCACAGTTTACTGCAGCCTTGACCTCCCAGGCTCAAGCAATCCTCCCACCTCAGCCTCCCAAGTAGAGCTGGGACTACAGGTGCATGCCACAATGCCTAGCTAATTTCTTACTTTTTTGTAGAGATGGGGTCTCCCTATTTTGTCCAGGCTGGTCTCGAACTCCGAGGCTCAAGCGACCCTCCCACCTTGGCCTTCCAAAGTGCATTCTCCCCACCTACACACCCCTTTGTGACCCAATGGAGTCAGGTGTGTCCGGGTTTGAACGGCTAGGCAAATAATTTATCGAGTGTTGTGAACATTCAGCCATAAACGCAGCGACCTAACCCGAACGCCCAATTCATCGTATGTTCTCAGTAAATACCAGTTTCACGTCTTTCCTCTCTAAACACAATCTTTTCTCCTTCTCCTCACTAGCAGGCTGGGAGGGCCAAAAGGAGGAGATTAGGGTTGGGGAGAAACTGACTCTTAGGCAGCAGGGGAGAAAGTGTGTTTTTTATTTATAGTGCCATTTGCAAAAGGGGCAAACTGTCTGTCACCACCCCCTCCACCAACTTTACGGGCGGAGGACGGGGAGTCACTCCTCCCGTTACCCCCCGCAACCCTCAGTAACCTATAACCTGGGGAAAGGGTCCCGAGAGCCGGGCCAGGACGCTGCGCCGCTGGGTTTAGGACCCGAGAGCGGAATGGGCAGGAGGTGGAGGTGCACTTCTGCAAATCTCAGGAACCGGAGCCCTGGAGGCGGCGGATGAGAAAGTCCACAGCCCTGGCAATTTGGGGTGTGTGGGCAGGGATTTAGCGTTATGTCCACAGCCGCTCTAGTGAGGGTGCCCCCACCCACGCTCCTCGGAAGGGCAGCGCTCCATCGCCACCCTGCTACCCTTTCCCCAAGCGCCCAATCCCACCTTGGCTGGCGCTCCGGGAGCCTCCGGGGGAGGAGGGAGGCGTGGCCTCGGGCGGCCCGCCCCTTTGATGTGCGCCGGCGCCTCTGTGATTGGACAGTCGCTTGTGACGTGTGGGGACTGCGGTGGGCTCCGCTGCTGCAGCAGCCGCAGCGCCGGCCGCGGCTCCGGCTCCGGCTCCGGCTCCCGGGCATTTAAAGGGGACGCGGCGGCTGCCCGGGGGGATGGGGGGCAAGTGGAGGGGACGGCTCAGACGCACATCGTCCTCAGTCCCTCGGGACTGGAGGGACTCGTGAGCCGGAGCCCAGAAATCCGGGGGTGGATAAGACACCGCGTCCCCTCCAATTCCCGTAAGCACCCCTTGCTCCATCCGGCGCCCCAATACCTCAGCTAGCCCCCTTCCCCACTTCTTACACACCAAACTCAGCCGGGACAGACCTCTGCCGCCGCCGCCCCCACGTGAGTCCTGGGCTCCGGGAGATAGGGGAGGGCTGGGGTCCCGGCGCGGGGTGGGGGCTGTGGAGTTTGAAGGCGCTCCTTCACGCGCGTGGCAGTGGGGGAGTTCTGGAGCTCAGGAGTGAGTGCCCTTCTCTCTCCTACCCAGGAACATAGTGCTGGGGTATCCCTCCGTCCCCGACTCTGGCAAAGCCAAGGAATTGGTGTCCCCTTGCTCCCTGCCACCCACAATACCCCTCCCCAGCCGCGCACCCCCCGCCCGCATTGGAGCCCAGCGCCCGCCAGCTGGGGGTGCGCCAGAGTGCTGGCTTCCTAGTCACCTCTAAAAATATCTCTCCCCCAACCCTACCGGCAGCTGCCACTTCCCTGCCCCTGCCCCTGCCTCTAGGATCCCCTCCCAGATTGTCCTCCCAGCCAGGCAGTGCCCAGAGGTGACTGCTAGACCCAGACGCCTCACTGGCACCAGGGCGCAGGGCCACCACCGCCAGCTGGTCAGGACCGCAAGCTCTCAGCCCACGAGAGTCTCCAGGGCCAAGGGGGGAGCTCCAGCTGCAATATTCCCAAAAGGCGCCAGAGACTCCTGAGTTCTAATCTCGATTCCGATGCTGTGTGACCCCCAGGATGTTAGCTTGACCTCTCTGGGCCTCTGTTTTTCCTATCTGCTGTTCAGGCGTGGTGAGCAAGGAAGATGGTCATGTTTGGGAGCACTGTCTGGGAGAGGGAGGGAATTCTAGCTTAGTTGTTAGATCTGATTTCTAGTGACTGATACAAGGAGACTTGTTTTTGGACAGAGAGGGCTTGTTACCGTGGTCTTTCTGGAGTCCTCGCCTCCCCATCCTCATTCTGCACATTTCCTGTGGAAAACTATGCCAAAACTTTTCTAGGAACTCCATCCACCCAGTAAGAAGGGAATTTCAAACTTAGGGCCTGTATCAGAGAGGGGCCTGTTTCCCTCCCACCCCCTTCCCACATATTTAATCTAAGAGCATTTGTGTGAAAGGCGGGAGAAGCAGGCAGGAATCTGACTCGGTGCAGAATTAAGGAGGTAGGCACTACTTTTAGGTGGGACTAGAATATGGACTCCCTGCAAGCCGCTAGAAACCCTTCTCCCTTCTCTAGCCTGTTAGAGTAGCTCAGATCCTGCCCGCTACTCTGAGGGACTCTGGTGACCACAAAAGGATTTGATGACTCAGAACAAAGGTGTCAGAGGTGAGAGACCTTTTGGAACATCACAGGAGCCAAAGTCCAACAGGGGAAGGGGTTCCTCTGACTCCTGTGGGGTGGGGACGAGGTGTCACGGCATGGTCTTCTCAGTTTTCAGGGGAAGAAACCCAAGATGCCCGACTTTCTGCCTTGGAGACTAAAAGAAACAAGGGCAACTCACCAAACAATAAGTGTTTAACTGAATCCCCTAGATACTATTATTAGCAGAAAAATATAACTGTCTTTTATGATGACATATGAGGAATTTTGTGTGTATGTGTGTGTGTTTTGGGGATGGGGTTACTCCCTCTGTCACCCAGGCTGGAGTGCAGTGGTACCATCACAGCTCACTGCAACCTCTGTCTCCTGGGTTCAAGTGATCCTCGTGCCTCAGCCTCCCAAGTATCTGGGACTATGGGCACAAGTCACCATTCCCAGCTCATTTTTGTTTCTAAAGAGACAGGATTTTGCCATGTCACCCAGTCTGGTCTCAAACTTCTGGACTTAAGTGATCTGCCTGCCTCGGCCTCCCAAAGTGTTGGGATTACAGGCTTAAGCCACCCTGCCTGGCTGAAAAAATGAGAAGTTTTGACCATAATTAATGGTTAATAGAATAGAAAAAAGGAAGGAAGGAAGGAAGGAATGAGAGAAGGAAGGAAGGAAAAGAAAGAAAAAGAAGGAAAGAAGGAAGGAAGAAAGAAAAAGGAAAGAAAGAGAAAGGAAAGAAAGAAAGAGAGGAAGGAAGGAAGGAAGGAAGGAAGAGGGCAAAGTAATGAGACCCTTCTCTATGGGATGAAAGCTGGTCCCTGGGTAGCTGCTGGTGACCCCTTGGAATCTTTGTATCTGCCCCTTGCTTCTCCACGTGCTGCATGTGCCTGTCCTGTTTGCTTTTACAAGGGGAGTGGCATCCCTGACCTTTCTCTTATAAATCACCTGGCTGAGGTTGGACATGTGATATCAGCTGGGAATCTGGAAGGTTGGAAGTCCCTCCAGATAGGGACTGGGGACAACTCCAACCCATGCCATTTCCTTGTCCCTCATGCAACCCTCCCCTTCTCTCCCACCTCCTCCTTAACCTCTCTTCTCTCCCATCCCTCACCCTCTCTTTGCCCACTGCTTCATTCAGCTTTGACCACCTCTCCCAATTCCTAGATTAGAAGTTCTTGGAAAAAACTGAGAGCCACATTCCATCCCTGCAGAAGGATTTAACACATATGTGGTCCAGGTGTTGTGAGGGAGGGGGTGCTACAAGATGGATAGTGCTAGAGCCTGTGCCCTGCTCCTGGGATGTCCCTGTCTCTGTCCTGGGGCAATTGCTTCTCCCTCCTGGATAGTCAGGGGAGAGTGTCACCTTGACAGAGGGGTTTACAGTCACCATTGTCACCACCAGAGGGCAGCAGCCAGCCAGACCTTTGCTCCTCTCCAGATCTTGTCTCCTGGCTCTCTGTATCTTTCCAAATCTTGTCCCAGCTGCCTCTGGTCTCACGCAACCCCAGGAGCACAGGTGGGAGAGTAGAGAGGCACTGGAAGTTGTAGGTGGTATCCTTTACCGCTCTCTTAGTGAAGTCCCCAAGAGGTGAAACCCAGTCCCCAAAGCCACACCAAAGTCTAGCCGAGATTTCTTTTTTTTTTTTTTTTTGGGGGGGTTTCTCTCTTTTCTCCCAGGCTGGAGTGCAGTGGCGTGATCTCGGCTCACTGCAAGCTCCGCCTCCCGGGTTCACGCCATTCTCCCGCCTCAGCCTCCCAAGTAGCTGAGACTACAGGCGCCCGCCACCACGCCTGGCTAGTTTTTTGTATTTTTAGTAGAGATGGGGTTTCACCATGTTAGCCAGGATAGTCTCGATCTCCTGACCTCGTGATCCACCCGCCTCGGCCTCCCAAAGTGCTGGGATTACAGGCTTGAGCCACCGCGCCCGGCCTCTAGCCGAGATTTCAACCTGACTCTCCTGTCTGACTACCGGACCCCTGAGAGCACCAGGGAGGCCATTCCCAGATCACCTGTGAGACCTGACTGGGGGTCCCAGACCCCAGCTATGGTATAGTAAGCTTTGGTCATCTTCCTTTTTGAGGGCACGAGGAAGGCAAAGCTGCGGTCAAGCGTTCACGAAGCAGTCTATGCCCCCTGTAAACAGCGTGGCTGGTTAGTTAACCTCTCTGAGCCCTTCTCATTGGCTGAATTTATGACTAATGAGTAGTGAGAGAATATGAGTAAAGGTGGTTTGTAAACTATGATGTGTCAAACACATTTAAGGGACAATGATGATACCAGAGAAAAAACACTGGACTCAGGCTCAGATGTGGGTTTGAGATCGGTCTGCCATTTACAGTGGGTGACTTTTTGGAAAGTCAGTTAACTTCTCTGGGTCTCCGATACCATCTGAAACCTCTCTAGAGTTGTAGGTGCTGGGCCTATTTGAGGGATTGTTTTTGCTAAGACCCTGGGAGTGCCTCCTGTGGCTCAGCAGAAGGACCAGGGCCAGGTGGGTATTCCTAGTGGAAGCAAAGGCAGCTGACTGGGCACCCTCAAATGAACTTTTGTGGTTGTCAGGAACGTTTGACGACGGCTGGAGGCCAACAGAGTCCCTACAGGTGGTGCCCACGGTAATGCACCGACAATGAGTGGCTGTTTTCCAGTTTCTGGCCTCCGCTGCCTATCTAGGGTAAGTGGGTCCCTCTGGGGGTCTCCTAGGATGAGGCCTCAGCCCCCAGTTTTCCATCACCTTTCCATAGAGCTTTGGGAGAGGCCCTATCCAGCCCATTTTAGGTTTACCCTCACCTCTACTGGAGCTTCATGATTTCCTAGAAGCTTCCATCCCAGGTGTGGGGTCCTGATGCTTTATATCTGCAATTTGAAGGATCCTGGGCCACCGAAATGCCCACTGGATGTTAATGAGACCATAGGGTGACTCTAGGGATGAGGTGGAAGGGACAGCTTGGTTAGGACAGCAGATAGTCCATCGAAATCCCAGCCCTGAAATGAGGAGCTTGGGCTTCTGTTTCACAAGGTGTGCCAGGCCATAAGCACCCCAGGAATATGAGAGAGGGGTTTAGGAAGAAACCAGAAAGAGGAACAATCCCATCTCAATTAACTGGGGTGGGAGCTGGGTGGGAGAAAAGCAGTGTGTGGGTATCTGGAAGCTGCACATCACCTGCTCACTGCCCCTCTGCGCCTCTCACACACTGGCAGGCAAAGGTGATGGAGACTTGCTGCTGAGGGCTCTTGCTGCCTCCATTGCTTGCCTTTCCTTGTGCCCTGACATGTCCCCTGTTGTCCTCTGTCCTCTCCCTTGCTGCCTACTACCCTCCCGTCCAACATGACTCTGGCCCAAGGTCTCCACTTCCTGGAACTCCCCTATCCCTACCCCTACTCTGTCTTCCTGTCCAGCAGTCTGTCTCCAAGATCCCCTAGCATGATTTCCTTTCAGCCCTCTCTTCCATACCCCTTAAGTCCCCACTACCTGGCCCTTCCCACTCCTCTGCCTTTTCAGCCACTGCTGCTCTCTCTCTTCTCCCTTACCTGTCTCCCAGGTATGTCGTGGCCTGGTGCGGGAGGCTCTTACCTCCCCAAGCCCCACTGCTTCTCCTGCTGCCCGCTTGCTTCGGACTCTGGCAGAAACCCCACCCGCTGACACGTTCCTCCTGGGGAATTGGCAAGTGATTAGTGATGAGCTGTCAGCACAGGGCCCTCAAACTCCCTGGAGAAGCTGTGCCCCATCCCTAGACCTCTGTCCAGTGCCATTGGGCTGGAAGCAGCTCCCAGAGAGCCATAGATTCCCCACAGCCCAAAAGTTGAATGGGGAAGCCGGTCCAGTTGGGTGGATGGGTGGTTTCCCTTGACTGCCTCAGGGAATGAGGAAGGGGAGAGTTCCCACCACCCTCTCTTGATCCACACGAACAACAGGGGCCACTGGAAGTCTCCAAAACAGTCCAGTCCAGAAACCTCCCCAAAGTGGTGATCCTCGGAAGCTGCTCTTCCCTTCTTTTGACCCTTGTTAAGCCCCATTGGTCCCTGATGAGAGTACCGAAAACAGGTGCCGGGAGGCCCTCTGGGCAGAAACCCCGGTGCAGTTAAGTAAGCGGTGCCACTGGGGTAGTCAGGGAAGGCTGGGGATAGAGGTGGTGGCATTGGGTACTCCTCCCAGCTTAACCAGACTTGGGTCCTCCTCAGGTCTTGGATGTGCCAGCGCCTCTGGCCGTGGCCCGCTAACCAGCCTCTCCCGGGCGGGCTCCTGCCGCGCCCCCTCTCGCTTGCTCCCTCCTCCTCCTCCTCCTGCTGCTCTCCCCCCTGCTCCCAGGACGGCGGGATGGCTGCGCAGGGCGCGCCGCGCTTCCTCCTGACCTTCGACTTCGACGAGACTATCGTGGACGAAAACAGCGACGATTCCATTGTGCGCGCCGCGCCAGGCCAGCGGCTCCCGGAAAGCCTGCGAGCCACCTACCGCGAGGGCTTTTACAACGAGTACATGCAGCGCGTCTTCAAGTACCTGGGCGAGCAGGGTGTGCGACCGCGGGACTTGCGTGCCATCTACGAAGCCATCCCTTTGTCGCCAGGCATGGGCGACCTGCTGCAGTTTGTGGCTAAACAGGGCGCCTGCTTCGAGGTGATTCTCATCTCCGATGCCAACACCTTTGGCGTGGAGAGCGCGCTGCGCGCCGCCGGCCACCACAGCCTGTTCCGCCGTATCCTCAGCAACCCATCGGGGCCGGATGCGCGGGGACTGCTGGCTCTGCGGCCGTTCCACACACACAGCTGCACGCGATGCCCCGCCAATATGTGCAAGCACAAGGTGCTCAGCGACTACCTGCGCGAGCGGGCCCACGATGGCGTGCACTTCGAGCGCCTCTTCTACGTGGGCGACGGCGCCAACGACTTCTGCCCCATGGGGCTCCTGGCGGGCGGCGACGTGGCCTTCCCACGCCGCGGCTACCCCATGCACCGCCTCATTCAGGAGGCCCAGAAGGCCGAGCCCAGCTCGTTCCGTGCCAGCGTGGTGCCCTGGGAAACGGCCGCCGACGTGCGCCTCCACCTGCAACAGGTGCTGAAGTCGTGCTGAGTCTGGCCGCCTGCAGGGGGCACCCCGGCCAACGGCGGAGGGGGCGGGGAAGGGGGATTCGGGAAAGACAAAGTTAGTTTTACTACTCCCTTTTCCCTTTGGCTTTGCTATGTCCCTCCGGGAATTTCTGGAATCTCGTCTTTAGGGGCTTGGGGAAGGGGGCTCAGAGCCGTCCCTATCTATGCAGTTAACCCACCTTGGCTGCCTCCCCCGCTCCACTGCGCACGGTTGAGTTCTGGAGTCTGACCCATCGCGGGGTGGCGCGCAAACCTTGGAAGGCAGCAGTGTTTCCTGGTCCTACCAACTGGGAGGAAGGGGCTCCCTGGCAGGTGAGAGAAGGAACATCTCCCGCCGCTGTAACTGTTGCCTTGGGCTGCGTGACCGCCCCCCCTCCAGTCTGCTGTGGAGGGAACCCAGGATCCTGAAATTCTCCTGGCCACAAGGACTCTCCACGGACAGAAGAGGGTCTCCACCTATGGCCCTAGGCCTTTGCGATCTTGCTTCACTCAACGCGACCCCACACTATTTCTGTGCTGTCTACACCCTCTTGCCTTCCGACCTCCGCACTCCCTTCTAGCACCCCCAACGGAAAAGCCAGAGGGAACAATCGCCTCCTGGTGGTGGTACGAGGTAGCGCACCGTCCGGCCCGGGTCCTGCCAGCCAATAACCTCGCAGCGTGTGACGGTGTCTCCTTGCACCCCAGCCTCATCTATGCAGCAAGAGACCAGGGACTTTACCAAAGTCACCCTTGCAGGCTGGGCCCTCCACGCATCCCCCTCCCCACCCCCATGGAACAGAAAGCCATGATGTTTTTAAGCAGAATCAGCGAAACCCAAGCCCCTCCTTCCTCTGGTGTTTTACAACTATAAAGGAGGTGAAGGGGGAAGAAATGACTGAGATCTCTGGCGCGTCAGTCTGAGTTGAGAGTGAGGTGCTCTAGGAGAGTCCCGCTTAAGTCAGGGAGATGGTTCCCACTCTTGGGCAAGTGCCCAGCCACATATGAACACATCACACACACAGCAAGCAATGGGCAAAAGAACAAGTTGCAGTCAATGGCTGCAGAGGGGTGTCTGGGGTCCAATGTGGGCTGCACTTTGTGGGTACTGAGGGAATGGGAAGATGCTGCTTCTGGGGCAGCTGGTGGGTTGGAGGTTGGGGGCTGTAATTAGCAGCAGCCTTAGAATTGGGATGCCTTTCAATCCCTCCTGGCCCCTTATCTCCGTGGGGCAGTCACAGGACGTCATCCATTTTATTCAAAGTTGGGACTTGCAGCAGGAGACCCTGCCCTGCATGGAGTAGGGGTCCTCTGTTGACTAACTTCTTGGTTTCCAGCTCTTCCCCATCTGCAACAGGCCTCTGGGTAAGTTCTCTCTCCGCAGGACCCCTTCCCTCCACGATGGGAAGAGGGACAGAACACAGCTCACAGCCCAAGAGCTGGGCAGACCCAGTCCAGCCGTGACTGGAGCTGGGGCTCATGAAACCCACTCAGTGCAGGCATCAGCTGCCCAGAGAGCCCTGGGCTGTCAGCAGCTGGGCTCCACATAGTTTCCGGGGAAGAATCCAGTCCCCTCTGAGCTGATGCCCTCGCACCAGCCATCGGAGTAGCGGCGAGTGACACAGATGACAGTGCCCTCAGAGAAGGAGAGCTCATTGTCCTTCTGGCCGATGTATGGGTACAGTGTCACCACTGCAGGGCAAAAGAAGAGGGTGCTGTGAGATATGCCTCTTGCCCTCTCCCCCCCCCACCCCCACCGCCATGGGGATGCAGGGTCTCAAGTACTAGACTCTAGGGACCATCTTGAGGGGCTTCCAAGCCTTTAGGACCCCTCCCCAGCTTAGTTAATATTTAATACCAAGCCAGCTGCCCTCGCCCCAGTTCTGTTCTGAACTCAGTTCGTCAGAAAAATTGTGTAGGGAGCCCGGGGGATAGATTCACACCTTTGCAGAGGGAGGAGAATGGGGGTCAGGACAACAGAGGCAGAAGCTAGGAAGTGGGATCCGGTGCCCCTCAGTCCCAGAAGTCAGGTACCTTTCTCCAAGTATGAGGCAGGCACCCAGCTGGGCTCATCAGGCCCAAAGCCTGGTGGGGGTGGAGGCAGCCCTAATTCATCTCCATCCAGGGGTGGAGGAGGAGGCAGGTCCAGTGGCAGGGGCAGCTCTTCGTCTTGGGGGAAAAGCAGAAAGGCTGTAAGTGTGGCACAGGAAGCTCCTTCAGTGTGTCAGGGATCTGCTCGAGAGCTGGGCCCCAGAATCCACCCATCTCAGCCAGGCGCGTTGGGAGGCCAAGGTGGGCAGATCACCTGAGGTCAGGAGTTCGAGACCAGCCTGGCCAACATGTGAAACCCCATCTCTACTAAAAATACAAAAATTAGCTGGACATAGTGGCACACGCCTGTAATTCCAGCTACTCAGGAGACTGAGGCAGGAGGATGGCTTAACCCAGGAGGTGGAGGTTGCAGTGAGCTGAGATCTTGCCAATGCACTCCATCCAACCTGGATGACAGAGTGAGACTCCATCTCAAAAGAAAAGAAAATAAAAAGAATGCACCCATCTCATGCAATCTTCCTCCAGCCCTCTCCTGTCCTGGTCCTCCCACAGTGTGCTAGCGCATAGTAAGTGCTCAGTAAACCCTGAAAGATCCAGCACTAGAGGACAGTCAGACTCTACCTCTTATTAGCTGGGTGGCTCTTGGGCAAGTCACTGAACTTCAGCTTCAGTGGCTTCATCTATTAAGGAAGAGTGCTAAGGACCCTCTCGTGATTAAGTTTATTTTGTTTTGTTTTATTTTATTTTTTTGAGAGGGAATCTCGCTCTGTCACCCAGATTGGAGTGCAGTGGGGTGATCTCAGCTCACTGCAGCCTCGAGGCCTCCCGGGTTCAAGTGATCCTCCTGCCTCAGCCTCCTGAGTAGCTGGAATTACAGGCATGCACTACCAGCCAGGCTAATTTTTGTATTTTTAGCCATGTTGGCCAGGTTGGTCTCAAACTCTTGACCTCAAGTGATCTGCCCTCCACAGCCCCCCAAAGTGCTAGGATTACGGCCGTTAGCCACCCCACCTGGCCTTTAGGATTAAGTTTATTATTATTATTTTTGAGAGGGGGTTTCACTCTTGTTGCCCAGGCTGGAGTGCAATGGCCGGATCTCCACTAGCCGCAACCTCTGCCTACCGGGTTCAAGCGATTCTCCTGCCTCTGCCTCCCAAGTAGCTGGAATTACAGGCATGTGCCATCACGCCCAGCTAATTTTATATTTTTAGTAGAGCCCGGGTTTCTCCATTTTGGTCAGGCTGGTCTCGAACTCCCGACCTCAGGTAATCCGCCCGCCTCGGCCTCCCAAAGTGCTGAGTTTACAGGCATGAGCCATCGCGCCCGGCCAGGATTAAGTTTAAATAAGAAAATGGACGAGAAGTTTCGAACACAGGGTCTGGTATACGGCAGGCGCTAAGTTATGTTAGTTCACTTCCTCCGCCTCCTTTCGCTCCCGTGCTGCGCTCCATGGAGGAGGCATTCACTGAGGCTGGCCGGGGCAGATCCAAGAGAGGTGGGCTGGGAAATGGCAGGAGGCGGAAAAACGACCCCACGGTTGGGAAGAAGAAGGGGGCGGAGCTCCTTACCCAGTGGGGGTGGGGACAACTCCTCTAGCGGGGGAGGCCGCTGGAACACCTCGACGGCTGCTGGTGGAGGAGGTGGGTCCAAGGAGTTGGGGAGAGGTGGGGCTGGAGGTGCTGCCTGCCCCTTGGGCATGGAGGCCCCACCGACACCTTCGGCGCTGCTGAACACCAGAGAAAGCAGGGCTCGGCCCGGTTGGCGACACGCCTTCCCTAATGCAGCATCCCCAGCTGGCCCCACTCCTCCAATCCTGAACCCAGCCCTGCACGTGTGACTCAGGACTAACTGGGTCCTTTCAAGCCCAGGAGTCACTATGACCACTGGCAGGAGGCCCCTCTCAAAAGCCACCTCCCACCCCTCACCCTCCCACGCAGGCTTGTAGGTCTCACCCTGCCGAGGCCAGGGAAGAGGCGGAGGAGGCGGCGGAGAGTCTGCCGTCGGGTACCACCGGGAGGTGCACTGGCTCGGGAATCCGGGGTGGTCTCCTGGCGGGGGTCGGGGAGTGGGTATTAGGAGGAAGGAGGAAGGCTTCTGGCCAGCAGGGGTCGGGTGTGAGCAGGAAAGGCATGTGGCTGAGGGGGAGGTTTGGCGCCAGGCATCCAGCATGACGGCCTGAGCACCCAGGCGCCAGGGGTGGGTGGCGAGGCTGGGGGAGGAGAGTTTCAGGGTCGCGCGGGGTAGGGCTAGGCTAGTTGGCGAGTCCTCACCCCAATGTGGCGGAGGCGGGTGTGGCAGGGGCCTTGATGCTCTTTCGAGACAGGGTGCCTGTCCTTGACAGCTGCGTGCTGAGGTCCTGCGAGGGAGCGGGAGGTAGGGCTGACATTTGGGGTGAGAGGCCACTCCCCACCCTCATCCCCAAGAGGAAATGGAGGAGGGGCGGACGAGAACCGGGAGGGAGAGCCCAGCATGGCCAGTTCCCACTTCCACTTCTCAGGCCCCTCTCCTACACTTCCCCCACGCTACCCCCTTGTCATTGCCTGGGTTCTGGGACTCAATTCTACCAAAGCCGACAGCCACTTCCTCTGCACAGCCACAGCGGATTGAGTGGGCCCAGCACCCCTGTCCCTCCTGCAAACCATCTCAGAGCCCAGGAAGCTGAGGCCCTGGCTTAGTGGTCCCTAACTTTGATTGGGCTGAGGAGGCGGTGGGGAAAGGAGAGGACACATCACACTTAGAAGTGTCCCACCTGTCATTTTCGAAGATTTGTGGAATTGGCTTTGGGGAGTTAGGGCAGAGAGGAGCAGGACCCAGGCCACTTAGAGTGGATGCGCAAATGACAGGGCGCACACCCACATGAAAGAGGGAACTTCTGTTACCAATGGGACTTCCCCAAGGGGTGGGTACAGTGTTACCTCATAGGCTTCACCAGGGGCAAGACGAAAGGGATTTGAGCTGAAGCACAAAGAATATAAGTTGGGCTGGGAGCGGTGGTTCACGCCTGTAATCCCAGCACTTTGGGTGGCTGAGGCAAGCAGATCACCTGACTTCAGGAGTTCAAAACCAGCCTGGCCAACATGGAGAAACTCCATCTCTACTAAAAAAAAAAAAAAAAAAAAAAAAATTAGCCAGTCATGGTGGCAGGCACCTGTAATCCCAGCTACTCGGGAGGCTGAGGCAGGAGAATCACTTGAACCCAGGAGGTGGAGGTTGCAGTGAGCCAAGATCACGCCATTGCAATCCAACCTGGACAACAAGAGTGAAACTCCATCTCAAAAAAAAAAAAAAAAGAATATAAGTTGGACAACAGAGACCTTACTGGTGGGGAGGAGGCCTGGTGGTTGAAGGGGAGAGTGTGGTTTCCCCTTTAAGGGGGGCTGATAAGTTCAGGATATCAAGGGGTTCATTTCAATACAGAAATGTCAAGGTGTGGAGACAGGAATTGAAGACGGGACGGGTGTGAGTGTGTGCCCTCTCCGACCTCGCAGAAAGACGTGGGCTGAGAAGACGCCAGCGCCATGCTCCCCTCTCTTCACCAAGTCCCCTTTGTGTGGCTGCATCCCCGCTTCTTCTCACCAAAGCAGCTGTGGGGTGACTGCTCAGTGCAGTGACCTCAAACCCCCAGACAGAGGAAGTTGCTGTTCTCATGTGGCTGGGAGCCATTCTCATGCACACCCTGACATCCTCCCTTCCCCCTCTTCCCCTTCCCACATGCCCGGTGCCCACAGGGGCGGGGCGGGGGGGCGAGGGGTGCTCAGGATCTCACACTCAGCAGATCCTCTGAGGACGGTACAGACTAGTTTTGGAGGGAGGGATTACAAAATCTAGGGAGAGGGAGAAGAGCTCAGAGTGGTGGCTTCAGGGAGTGGGGAAAGAAAGCAGTGGCAAGTTGGGACAAAATGTGCAGGAGAACTGGGGGTCTGGAGGGAAAAGGGCCACAAGGCACGAGAGGGTGGGTTGGAGGGAAAGAAGAGGGTCCCTCTCTCTACCTTGATCCCATGGCCAATGTCGTCCAGGCAGCCAAAGTTGAGGGGTCTCCTGCAGTAGGGCGTGAGAGGGGGTAGGCTCTCTGGGGCGATGACCTTCTGGCCCGGGGGCAGCCGCTGGACAGTGGCTAAGGTGCCGATCTCCCTTCGGGCCACCTTCTCCATGTGCATGTTCACCATCTGCATGACAGGGTGCAAGGTGACAGAGAGGGGTGGTCTGTGTCCAATGCCCTTCCCCCTAAGGAGGAAGAAGATAGAGACTTTGGGCTGGGGGTAGGGACCATGGGAGGCAACGAGGTCTAGAAAAAGAGGGCCCTTCCCCTCCCCCCGCTCCCCCACCAGGCTACATAGCAATTGGGAAAAGTGGCAGGAAAGGATGAAGCCACTTTGGAGCCACTTCCTGGTGGAAAGAGAGTAAGGGTTATTATTAGCTGAGCAGGAACAGGAGGAAAAGAGAAAACACAACATCCCTGGGGATGCCGGGAAGAGACAAGCACTGGGCTGGCTTGGGAGCAGAGGGGGAAAATATGGAGGTGGCAGAGAATGGTGGCTTGACCAGCTTTGGGGGACAAATAAGTGAACTGACTTCCTCTCAGAATGTTCCGTGGAGAAAGCCTACAGTTCGAAAGGGTGGGAACTCTGGTCTGCGAGGGGAGAGGAAAAGGCACACCCCACCCACTGAACATGTGGGTGATGCACAGGCCAGGCTGAATGTGTGGCTGGGTCTGTGCATGTGCTTTATGGGGCAATTCCTCGGTCAAGGATCCAGGAAGGAAGGAGGGTGTGTGCGCTAGAACACTGTGGCAGGGTGGAGGGTGTATACTGTATGGTGTTGGCAGTGCTTCCAGGGCTGAAGATGACCTTGTCAAGCTAGCACCCTGGGTCTAGGATATTTATTAAGGCACTGCTTGTATTTAGATGCAAACAGGGTTCATTTGCTTCTTTCCTGTATATGCCGCTGCTCTGATTGGTAGATATTACTTTCTAATGTCCAGGATAGAATTCCAAGAAAGAAAAAGCTCTGCCTTCGGGGAATTTGTAGCATAGCCACAGAGATAAGGAGGTCCAAAAAGCTTGGAAAGTGCCAACCTTCTGCTGTAGAGTTGGGCATTTGGACATGGGGGAAAGCAGGAAGGAACTTTTGACGTAGAAAATGTCTGAGTCGGGCTGAAGAGTTGAGGCCTGACGCAAGACGCCTTCCCACGCCCCACACCCCTTACCTGGCCCAGCGTGCTTACACGGGCTTCCACCTGCCGCAGGGCGGCCCCCTGCAGGTCCAACATGCGCAGTGTGTGCCCGGCCAGGTTGCCCACCTGGTAGGCCACACTGGCCAGTGCCTGGGTAGTGAAGGCCATGGTCTCCTCCAGCGCCTTCCGCTTGTCTGTGGCCTGAAATACACACAGCCCTGGCCTAAGGGCCAGCATCTTCCACTGGGTCCTTGGCTGGCTGGGGTGGGATGGGAGAGGATTTAGGGAAAATAGGCGCTGGATTGGGACAGAGCCGCAACCCTTAGATGTTTGAGTTGGCTCTCAGCAGAATTATGTTGTAGCAAGAGGGACTAGCTACAACATCACTTTAAATTCACTTTAAAAAAGTGAATCTGCAGCCTTGGGGAACAGATGCAAAGGGAGGGAAAGATACCCATTCTCAAACAGTCAAGCTGAGGACTGAGTACAGATGATGGTACCACCCTCCTGAAGACTTCAGTAACAGGCTGTCCTTTTAGGGGTTAGAGTGGGGGTGAATAGTAGAAAGGAAAGAGGAAGGCAACACTGGCTAGAGCAGACATTCTATTTTTTTTTTTTTTTTCTGGAGACGGAGTTTCGCTCCTGTTGCCCAGGCTGGAGTGCAGTGGTGCGATCTCGGCTCACCGCAACCTCCGCCTTCCGGGTTCAAACGATTCTCCTGCCTCAGCCACCCAAGTAATTGGGATTGTAGGCAAGCACCACCATGCTCGGCTTATTTTGTAATTTTTTTTTTTAGTAGAGACAGAGCTTCTCCACGTTGATCAGGCTGGTGGTCTCAAACTCTCTACCTCAGGTGATTTGCCCGCCTCGGACTCCCAAAGTTTTGGGATTACAGGCGTGAGCCACCGCACCCAGCCGACATTCTTAAACACAACAAACCATGTCAGGTGCAGTGGCTCACGCCTATAATCCCACTACTTTGGGAGGCCGAGGCAGGCAAATCACTTGAGGTCGGGAGTTCGAGACCAGCCTGGCTACAATGGCAAAACCTCGTCTCTACTAAAAATACAAAAATTAGCCAGGCATGGTGGTGCGTGCCTGTAATCCCAGCTACTCAGGAGGCTGAGGCATAAGAATCACTTGAACCCAGGAGTCGGAGGTTGCAGTGAGCCAAAATCACATCACTTCTCTCCAGCCTGGATGACAGAGTGAGACCCTGTCTCAAAAACAAACCAAAAAAAAGCTTTCCATGTGACTCTTTGTTTAGCTCCAGTCTGCAGATGGGTGTTTGGGAACTCAAATAAGGAAACTGAGGCCCAGAACAGAGGGACTTTATTCATTCATTCCCTCTAATAGCTTTCTAATACCCTGAGGATAAAATTCAAGCTTCCAACTGTGGCCTACATATAGCCCCTCCAGGTCTGGCTCCTGCCTTTCTCTTCATCACTCCCCCTCTCCCACTCTCCCCTCCAGCCACATTGGCCATTGGGTTTCTGTTCCTGAACAAGCTGAACTGTTTCTGCCTCGGGGCCTTGGCACATGCTGTACTTATTTTCAGAATCCTTATTAGCAGGCCTCAGTTTCCCAGAGACACCTTCCTTCACCACACTAAGATTTCCCCCAGCCCATGCCTTCACTGCCTCTTTATCATATTTACGTTATTCTCTTTTCTTCATGGCATTTAGCACTATCAAACATTATCTATGAATTTTTTTTTTTTTATTATCTACCCACCCTCCCTTAAATGGAAGTGTCATGAGAGCAGGGAGCTTGTCTGTTTCATCCTGTATCCCATCATGGAATCACACCCAACACGCAGAAGATTCTTCACAAATACGCACTTGTGAGTTAATTAGCAGGTCGAATGGGATCCCAAACATTCTCTGGGCACATTGTCACTGTATTCTAGGCACTGTGCCAGACACTGGCCAGGGTCACACTGCCAGTCAGTGCAGGAGGGGTAAGCAGGCAGTGGCTGAAGGGAAGAAGTTTTTTTGTTTGTTCGTTTGTTTTTTGAGATGGAGTTTCGCTCTTGTTGCCCAGGCTGGAGTGCAATGGCACGATCTCAGCTCACTGCAACCTCCGCCTCCCAGGTTCAAGCGATTCTCCTGCCTCAGCCTCGCGAGTAACTGGGATTACAGGAGTGCACGACCACGCCTAATTTTCTATTTTTAGTAGAGATGGGGTTTCTCCATGTTGGTCAGGCTGATTTCAAACTCCCGACCTCAGGTGATCTGCCCACCTTGGCCTCCCAAAGTGCTGGGATTATAGGCGTGAGCCACTGTGCCTGGCCAAGAAATTTTTTTTGGTCCCAGATCAGGCAGTGGGGGCTAGGGCAAAACTTCTCTGGTCGTTTGGTTCCCCAGGCAGCTTCCTCATCTCTTGTTGGGTCATGGAGTTGCCCTACTCTAGCCTGTACCTTTCTAACGCAGGTAGGGGGCAAGTCCAGGGTGAATCTAGGGTAGGGCCAGTGGGCCAACAGGCAAGGGTACACACTGGGATCCCCTTCCTTGAGCCCTCAGATGCCCCTCAGGGCCTGTCAATGGCGAGCAGACCTACAAACTCTCAGAGCAAGGTCTGAGAGACACCTGGGAGCCTCTAATGGAGCCTGAGCCAGGACCTCCCCGGAAGCCCATGCGGTGGCTCTCTCCTCCCTGTCTGTCTTTTCCAACAGCAGGAAAGAGATGCTCATTTGCATGTTTATTTACATCTCATCAGCGTATGCAACAAAACGTACATCTCCTCAGCATATGTCACCAAGAATCTTGAAAAGGCAAAGAAATCAACCCAGGATATTAAAACCAGACAGGATAGCAGGTCTTGATTTAGTTCAGGACCTTCCTTTACCAAATGAGGAAACAGGCCCAGAACTGAGCAGTGACTACTCCTCCATCTCCACCCAGATTTCTTAGCTTGCCTGCCTTCTCCTGTACAGTTTCCTCCCCAAACTGACATGTGGAATTGTTGGCCCAAACAGGAAAAGTGTCTGCTTGGGCCCAGCTCTGGGCACCTGGAGCCTGAACACCTACTGACCCCTGGCTTTGCTCCTGGCCCAAAGTTAGGTCTGCAGGGACAAGCATCTGAGATCCATCTCTGCGGCTGAGTGCTTGTTCGTCATGCAAATTACCCTGTCTGTAAAGTCAGTCAACCCTGGCGGAGAACTCTGCAGGTGACCCTGGTCTGCCTTCCCTAATTCCCCATGGGTTTCCTAGCATCTGGGTGGTGTGGGGAGAGAGGGGCTGCAGATGGGGATGGAGGGTAGGGGAATCAGGCCTTAGGTAACAGCAGTTCTGAGATCCAGAAACTTCCTAGGCATTTGCTTAGACAAAGATCCTCAGAAAGGCCCGGAAAGGTAACAGGTTGTGTGTTCTAGTAGTTATTGTTCTGCATGAAAGCAGCAGGAATCCAAGGATTCCAAGTTGGGTCAAGGCTTCTCACGCCCCACGTATTTTTGCAAGGACAGCTTCTCCTCCTTAGAACTGATTCTTATTATCCATCTTTCCAATGAATGATAATGATGATGATAGTCATGGTAAAAGCTGCCATTTATCCTGCTCTTCTGAAGGGGCTGGCACTAGGCTAAATGCTTTGATACATTTTTATATTGAACCCATGGCGCCACCCCTGAAGGCAGGCATGAGAATCAGAGGAGGAACTTGCCACAGTTCCTGTAGTTGGTAGGTGGCAGAGCTGGAAACTGGACTTAGGTCTTTGTGACCCCAAATTGTGTGTGAACACTGTGTGTGCAAATGAGAGCCCTGCGGAAGCTCTTTGAGGTGTGCAGAAGTTATGGAAGGAATGGAAAGGACTGCTTGGATCCTTGTCCGTAGAGGGAACATGCCTTTCTGTGCTACGAGGATGCGCTGGTTTGCAAGCCTCATTCTGTCTCATCTGCAGGTGGTCATTCAACAACTACACAGACCGAAATGATACCCAGAATAGCATTTTCAGTTAGTGGCATAGGGAGTGGGCTCTGGAATCAGATTTCTGGGTTTGAATTCAGGCTCTGACACTAGCTAGGAGACCTCTGGGAAAGTGACTTAACCTTTCCAAACCTCAGCTTCCTCATTGTGAAGTGAGAATGGGACTCGCCTCACTGGACTTCAGATGAGGATGAAGGGAGGCCATGCTGGTAACATGCCTGGCCCAAAGGAAGGGTCCAGAGAGTTGTTTTTTTTGTTTGTTTGTTTTTGTTTGAGACGGAGTCTGGCTCTGTCGCCCAGGCTGGAGTGCAGTGGCCGGATCTCAGCTCACTGCAAGCTCTGCCTCCCGGGTTTACAACATTCTCCTGCCTCAGCCTCCCGAGTAGCTGGGACTACAGGCGCCCGCCACCTCACCGGGCTAGTTTTTTGTATTTTTTAGTAGAGACGGGGTTTCACCGTGTTCGCCAGGATGGTCTCGATCTCCTGACCTGGTGATCCGCCCGTCTCGGCCTCCCAAAGTGCTGGGATTACAGGCTTGAGCCACCACGCCCGGCTGGGTCCAGAGAGTTTTAACTGCTGTCATCACTGATTCTCTTTAATCTGCCATTTCCCATGAGCACTTGTTCCTCATTTATTTCTTTTTTCAACATTCTTACTATGCTACGAGGTCTCTATGCCTGTTCTCATAGTTCGGTTAATACAGGTTAGAAAAATAAAGTTTTGCCGGGCGCGGTGGCTCAAGCCTGTAATCCCAGCACTTTGGGAGGCTGAGGTGGGTGGATCACAAGGTCAGGAGATCGAGACTATCCTGGCTAACATGGTGAAACCCCGTCTCTACTAAAAATACAAAAAACTAGCCGGGCGTGGTGGCGGGCGCCTGTAGTCTCAGCTACTTGGGAGGCTGAGGCGGGAGAATGGCGTGAACCCGGGAGGCGGAGCTTGCAGTGAGCCGAGATCACGCCACTGCACTCCAGTCTGGGAGCACAGCGAGACTCCGTCTCAAAAAAAAAAAAAAAAAAAAAAAGAAAAATAAAGTTTTGCCCAAGGGGTAACAAGGTTAGCCTGCAGCTCTTCAGGGAGCAGAGGAAACCGGGTACAGAGAGTGCAAATAAACTGTCGTAAAGTCACATAGTGTGTAGGGAGGCAGAAAGATGGAGAGGAAAGGGCTTGGCGTCAGGAGTCAGGTAAGCCCAAATGTGGTGGCTTACGCCTGTAATCCCAGAACTTTGGGAGGCCAAGGTGGGCAGATCACTTGAGGCCAGGAGTTCAAGACCAGCCTGGGCTACATATGGAGACCCTGTCTTTACAAAATACAATAAAAAAAATTAGCCAGGCATGGTGGCATGCGCCTGTAGTCCCAGCTACTCAGAAGGCTGAGGTGGGAGGATTGCTTGAGCCTAGGAGTTCAAGGCTGCAGTGAAGCTATGTGAGCTACGATCATGCCACAGCACTCCAGCCTGAGCGACAGAGGAGACCCTGTCTCAAAAAAAGAAAAAAAAAAAAAGACTGGCCGGGCATGGTGGCTCACTCCTATAATCCCAGAACTTCGGGAGGCCGAGGCAGGTGGATCACCTGAGGTGTCAGGAGTTCGAGACCAGACTGACCAACATGGCAAAACCCTGTCTCTACTAAAAATATAAAATTAGCCAGGCATGGTGGTACATGCCTGTAATTTCAGCTACTCAGGAGGCTGAGGCAGGAGAATCTCTTGAACCCGGAAGGTGGAGGTTATAGTGAGTCGAGATCGAGCCATTGCACTCCAGCCTGGGCAACAAGAGCAAAAATACGGGAATGCCTGGCTCTGCTGTTTGGAGCTGTGCGGCCTTGGACAAGTCACCTCACCTCCCTGAGCTACTGTTTCCACATGTGTAAAATAGGAATTATAATACGTGTCTCACAAGGTAGTTGTACAGATTAATGAAATAACAGAAGTGATTTCCATCATGGCTAAGTTGCCTTGCCTCTCCTCCCTGAATCCAAGAATCTATACTCTCAGCCCCAGGACAACCACACAATTTAAAAACTGTTCTACAATGCTACCTCCTTATCTTTTGCTAGTAGCCTGCTCCCAGCAGTCATGTGGGCCATCCCCTTCCCTCTGCATGAGATCCCCTCTCTTCAGCCCAGCCTACTCTGCCTTATCCCCACTCTCCCAAACTCAGGGTCCATCTCAGGTTCACTGTGCTGTTTGGGAAGTTCTTCTGAAGCGTCACCCAGAGCTGGCCTGGAAATAGAATGATCGCCAGCATCTGTGTGAGGACGGAGGCTTTGGGTCTCTGGATCGACCTGGGGGACTCAGAAGGATGAACCTGCAGTGACACCTGAGAACAGGATGGAATCGCACTGTCTGTCCCAGACATCTCTGAGGCGAGACAGAAAGGGCACAGTGGGGGCTTGGGTAGTATGGGGTCAGAGTTAAGTATTGGGGTCTGGGATGAAGCTGAAGTCTGGAGTGGGAGGTTTTCTCAGCCAAGGCCCAAGACAAGCACTATCAGGATGGCTCCCAGGGCCCCACTTGGGGCTGGGCTCAGGGTCCTCCCTCCAGGGGCTGGGGTGTCAGTCCTCCGCCCGCTCTACCTACCTGCACATAGTTGTCCTCGCAGTAGTCAGCAACCCGCAGCAGGGCACTGTGGTTGCCCCTCAGAGCCTCCCGGCCCGTGGGGATCTCAAACTCCTGCAGCTGCTGTAGCTCCGCCATCACCCCTAGCCTCTGTCTGGCTCCCCAGGGAGCCCGCTCGTTTTGAGTCTCACCCTGCCCTTGATTGGTTGCTCTGCCTTCCCTCCCTCTTACTGCTTTTGGTTTCCTCTGCGTGAGACCCAAACCTGCTTGCAAAGGGCAGGCATGCTCATTCCGGGACAAGAGGAAGTCAGTCCTGCTCCCCGAGCCTGTGCCTCTCTGTCCCCTGCCCAGAGGAAGGGGGAAGCCAGGGGCCCATTTGGGGGCCCAGCCCCCAATCCCACCCAGCAGAGGAAGCCAAGGTCGGGGCAGCTGTGATTGCTCCCTGGTCCTGGAGAGGAAATTGGTCGGTGGGGGGATGGGGTGGGAGACTGGGGAGGAAGGGGGCTGGCCTGCTATAGGGGGTGGAGGTGGATTTTCCACTCATGGAAGGCGGGAGGAAAGGGCAGAGGGTGGGGGCTTCCTTGGGAAGCTCGGGGATGAGTCACCAAGGGACAGGGGAGTGGAGGGTGGATAGGATATGGAGACTGGTCATACCAGAGAGGACTGTGGGACGGCAGCACAGCAAAAATAGAAAACAGCCGATGTGGCAGCAAGAGGGGTCAGGGTTGGACACCGGGAAGACATGACCAGAGAGGTCCCAGAGGGGTGTTAGTAAGCCTGCGAAGGGTTGTGTGTGATGAAGATCTGCCCTACATGCTCTGTGCTCATGAAGGCAGGACAAGATGAAATTGACCAAGTGTAATGTGAGGAACTCAGATTAGACAACAGGAAGGACTTGGATTTGAGAAGCACCAGGTTCAAATTCCAGATCAATTTGTTGGTTTTAGGAAGCAGCGGTGGACAGAGCACTGAGCCTGCCTAGGAGGTATGGGCTGTAGTTCATGCATTAACAGGACAGTTGGACCAGACGACCTCCAGGATCCTGTCCTGATTTCAAACTCTTAGAGCTCCCAGCTGAGAGTTGGACTGGGTCCTGGAGCAGGGAAGTTAGGATGGACCGCGGGCCTCCTCTCTGCCCCTCCTACCACCAAGCCTGTCATCCTAGAGACAGGAGAGTAAGAGGACCTCCCACCGACCATATTGGTCCCTTAACTTTTGCTCCTTCAGCGGGTCCCTTGTCATTGGATGGGTGTCAGCCAGAGCAGGAGCTCAATGTCTGTTAAATGGCATAGCCCTTGGGTGGTCCTTGGGGGAGAGCAAGAAAAAAACAGAATGTGGGTCCTGTGCTCAGGAACCCCCATTCAGGACTCAGAGGGAGGTGTGGCAGCAAAGAAGCTTTAACAGAGGCATTAGAGGTGTCCATGCCCCAAGTACTAAGTGGCACAGCATGGTGAGCAAGTACATATTTATTGAATGAGTGGATGAAGAGTGAGCTAGCAGAACTTCGTAAGGTGAAACAGTGGGGATCCAATGGGCGCACAAGGCACCTTGGTTAGGGAGGTTAGGGGCCAGTCTAGGACTTGCCGCAGGAGGAAGGACAGCCTCAGAGCATGCTCAGAGGTGGGAAGGGAAGGAGGAGAAAGCAAGCAAAAGGGGGCAGGCGGGGCTGTGAGGTGGAGGTGGGGAAATAGAAGCGCTGCAGGCTCTAAGCTAGTGAGGTCACCAAAAGAGTGAGGCGAACACAGGGCAAGGTGGTGAAAAGGTGGCTTCTGTTTTCGAGTTGGTTTTTGTGGGGAGAATGTCTGTCTCTCTGCGGCAGTGAGGGCTTGAAGGCTCAGGCGGGTGATGGGCTTAGAACTTTGAGCCTATGATCAGCTTAGGCATCAGAGATTTTGGTTTCCAGGCCATCTGCTTTATCTGAAGATTTTCAGCTGATGAAGAACTAGGAGGCTCAAACACTATCTTACCTGAGTCCAGGACAAGTGACTTGGAAAGTGTGCTCTTCTGTGGCAGGTGAGAGGTGCTGAGGTTGCACTGGGCTGGGATCTACTCTTAGTATCACTGGGGCTAGGCACCAGGCAGGCCTTCCTGATAACCCTGCAGTGATAATAATAACAATAGCATTATTAGTGATAATAAGTGTATTAAGTGTTCATTATGTGCCAGGTAGTATATTATAATATTTTATAGACATTATTTTCTTAGTACCCACAATAATTGCATGTGGTAGGTTTTTTTAATACCCATCTGCAGCTGGGGAAATACTCAAAGAGGTTGAGTGACTTCCCTAAGGCCACACTAAGGAAGCAGTAAGGAAGCAGCAGAGCTGGGATCAGAGTTGGAGTCTGGCAAGCTCCAGACCCCCTTGTCTCTCTTTTTTTTTTTGAGACGGAGTCTCACTCTTGTTGCCTAAGCTGGAGTGCAGTGGTGTGATCTCGGCTCACTGCAACCTCTGTCTTCTGGGTTCAAGCAATTCTCCTGCCTCAGCCTCCTGAGTAGCTGGGATTACAGGTGCCCGCCACCACGCTTGCCTATTTGTTGTGTTTTTAGTAGAGATGGGGTTTCACCATGTTGGCGAGGCTGGTCTCAAACCTTCGACCTCAGGTGATCTGCCTGTCTTGGCCTCCCAAAGTGCTGGGATTACAGGCACGAGACACTGCACCCGGGATCTTTTTTTATTTTTTGAGACAGTTGCACTTTGTCACCCAGGCTGGAGTGCAGTGGCATGATCTCAGCTCACTGCAACCTTCGCCTCCCGGGTTCAAGCGATTCTCGTACCTCAGACTTCTGAGTAGCTGCGATTACAGGCACTCACCACCAACCCTGGCTAATTTTTCTATCTTTTGTAGAGACGAAGTTTCGCCATGTTGGCCAGGCTGATCTTGAACTCCTGGGCTCAAGCGATCCTCCCACCTCGGCCTCCCAAAGTGCTGGAATTATAGGGGTGAGCCACCATGCCTGGCCAAGACCCCCTTCTCTTGAACATTATTGTATACTCTCCCGTGCTGGACTTGTAGAGAAAGAGGAAAACTCTGAGTCATTATATGAAACAATAATATTGCTTCCCAGATCTTCCTCTCCGAAAGAAACTCCTTCTTCTTTCTTCTCTGTTTCCTCTGTAGACAGACAGACAGATGGCTCTGTAGACAGATAATCCAGATTTCCTCCGTAGACAGTCAATCCAAAGGCAAAAATTGTCCCTTTCCCATCAGACTGGGAGCTTCCTCCCCTCCTGAGACCAGGCTCTCGAAGAGGCAGGGCGTGCAAGGATGGAGTGAATATCTGTTGAATGATGAGGGGCCTGAACTGAGGGATATGGCAGGGGAGATGCTAGAAGTTGAGGTGTGGAGGGAGCTGGGAGAGCTGATGAGATTTATGATCCTGGCTGCTGAATCCTTTCCAGGATCAGGTCTGTCTAGGGCAGGATGGCCCAGGATCTCAGCGAGAAGGATCTGTTGAAGATGGAGGTGGAGCAGCTAAAGAAGGAAGTGAAAAACACAAGAATTCCGGTGAGCCTCCTCGCCCCATCCCTGCTCTTCCCTTCCTGTTCCTGATGAGCCCCAGGAAGGAGGAAGTGACCAGAAAGGGTGGTGGGACTGTTCCAGGGCCGCAGAAGCAGCAGGAGGTACCTCTGGGATGGGATAGGATGCAGAGAAAGGCTGGGGTTGACTCTGTGAAGGTGCCAGCCTCCCTCAGCACAAGAGAGAGCCTCAGGGCCTTGGAGAGCTCAGTGTGTCCAGCCCTGCATGTGGGCTGGCTCTGGCCAAGCAGTCCATGAAGGTCAGGGTCAGTGTTGTGGGTCAGATCGAGGAACTCACACCCCCGAACACCTGTCTGTCCCCTGTGTCTTTCTCCTCTTTGGTCTCTGTCTCTGCCCTGCCCAGAAGCCTGTTTTTCCAGCACTGACCAAATCATGGATCCAGAGAAAGTAGCAAGGACCTAAAACATATTTTGTGTTCTCACAGATTTCCAAAGCGGGAAAGGAAATCAAGGAGTATGTGGAGGCCCAAGCAGGAAACGACCCTTTTCTCAAAGGGATCCCTGAGGACAAGAATCCCTTCAAAGAGAAAGGCGGCTGTCTGATAAGCTGATGGCACAGAGCCCCGCCCTGAGTGTCTGTCCCTCTTCAGCCAAGCCCAAGTCTCCTAGACCCCCAGTGAGTCAATGAAGTGTCACCTTCTCTTCATCACAGAATGAGTAAAGATCCCTGAACAAATGCATTGTGAACCCATTCCCCACTCCCACTTTCCACTCTTTTCTCCCATTATTTCCTCCATCTGCTGGGTCTCTGCTGACTTTGCTGGAACACTCTGAGGACAGTGTGGCTGGCCAAGCAGTTGGCCCCAGGGGTGGTGGGGTGTGAGGAGCCTGCGATACCACGAGACCCCAGAGGGCAGTCCTTAGGAAGCATTTACACCACCTTAGAACCCCTCCGTCTTTTCCCTCCACTCTCTTCCTAGGAAAAAAGCATTTCCACGCCAGATTAGTTTGGGTTGGGGGCAGTCCTGTCCCCCCATATCATGTCCTACCCTGTGATCCTGTTCCTAGTCATTTAGATCACCCCAGATGGCCTGATGACAACAGGAGTTTGTGAAGTTATGATTTCATGATTTATTTAATATTGTCGAGTAGTCTATTAGTGCTGGGCACTATGGATGGAAGAGTGAGCAAGACGAACATGGCTCCTATTTTCATGGAATTTGGTGGAGAAGACATGAAACAATTTACAATTAAGTCCATAAATGCTACAATGGGGAGAGTCAAGGGCCGTGTAGGAACACACAGCAGAAAGACATTCAGGGCAATGAGCCATGTCAATGTAAATGCCGTCGAGGGGCGCAGAATGGGGGCTGGAAAAGCATGAGGCTAGAGAAGGAGATTGGGGTCAAGTCTTGAAGGACCTTTCGGTGAACTCAGGAACTTTGTTCTTCATCCTAAGGGCAATAGGAAGCCTAGGAAGGTATTTAAGCAGATTCTGGTTAGCAGAAGGGAGGCTGGATCCTGCTAAGGACTGGGAATGTAGTGATGGATGAGACCAATTCCTGGGCCTTGCCAGCATGGAAAGGACTGAAGGAGCTGCAGACAAACCAGCACTCATGATACAACGAGCTCAGTGCAACATCAGAGAGGTCTGCGAGGGATATGATAGAATCCCATAGGAGGGCTACTTAATCTTGCTGAAGAGGTGCGTTGAGTCCTTGGAAGAAAGACAGGAAAGGCCTTTAAAAGGAGGTGATATCTCGAGCTGAGTTCTAAAGGGTTAAGTTGTCAATGGGTGGATGGATGGCACTTCTGGTGGGCCAGTATAAACAGAGGCATGATATGAGAAAGGACCATGGTTTGAATGGGAGCACCAATCAGGTTGGAGTGGGGATGTCAAGAGGTCTAGATGCTTAGGATCTGTGCTAGAGAGGGCTTGGAGGTGACTAGTGGGGTCTGGCTTGCTGAACTAAACAAACTTATTTGCTGGGAGTGACTTGGTAATGTTAGAAGGAAATTTGCTTTTCTGGTGGGGAGGGTGACAAAGTCTTTCTCTGTCGCCCAGGTTGGAGTGCAGGGGCACAATCATGGTTCACTGCAGCCTCTGCCTCCTGGGCTCAAGCAATCCTCCCACCCCAGCCTCCCAAGTAG